GAATGGACTCGTCCGTCAAATGGATTCGTCCTTACGGTAATAAAACGACGGACCATCCCTCTCTCAGTATCAGAATGGCTGACGGCGCTCCCATCATTCGCCTCGAGGAAAACCTCAACGTAGATACGCTCTTGTATCTCAGAGGGAATACTCTTGCCGTGATTACCCCTGACGATATCTTTGTCTTACCTGACGAGGTATTAAAAACACCTCCCAGGAAAAGACCCCCTCCCGAATTAGTGGAGACCATCAGACGCAACCGACATAAAGTGCGTCGCACCCTCACGTTCTAGTGAGGCCAACGGCCCTTTTCAGGGCCAACTTAATCAATGTAAAAGAGTTGTCTCCCCTTCTTTTGGTCTTCCTTCCCCTTCTTCTCCCCTTCTTTTGGTCTTCCTCCCCCTCCTCTCCCCTTCTGCTCTCTTCTTCTTCTTCTTCTTCTCTCTTCTTCTTCTTCTGCTCTCTCTCTCTCTCTCTCTCTCTCTCTCTCTTCCCGCGCGCGCGCCCTCTCTTTCTCAAACTAGGTCACTGCACGTGCAAGGGGTCACTCAGTGCAAGGTCATGACGAACTAGGTCACGGGGTCATTCAGTGCAAGGTCACGCACCTGCAAGGTCACGGGGTCATGCACGTGCAAGGTCACGTGCACGCACATCCATGCACGCGCATGCGCCCACGCACGCGCAAAAAAAATGGCTGTACAGGCCCCCTAACTACTAACGAGTTGCCGTTTACTTCCCTATCGTCCGATTTATTTCGTTATTATTATCCCTTCTAGGCGGTAATAAAACAACGAGCAAGAAATCGCGAGAATTTGCTAAAGCAAAATATGATAAAGTCTATATTTGAATGTGTTACAGTTCAACCGAACGTTTTATGTAATTTATTTAATTTATGTACAGGTATCGTACTGGTACATGCTACAGAACATGCAGTAAGTAATCATTTGGTTTTTTTCCATCCATGGATCATTACTTTATATAAATGAAATGAAATGAAATAGGGTTTAACGTCCTACTGTTCAGCTCCGAACTGGGCTAATGAAGACGGACAAACGCCATACAGTGTGCTATGAGGGAAATTTTGCCAGGACAGCGGCACTACTACCTACTCTTATATCGAATTCCAACTGTCAATTGATCTTTTATGTGCATGCCAATGGGTACACGGGACCTTGTTTTTCCGTCCCATCCGAATGACTAGACAGCTGTCCTTGAAAGGCCTTCCATCCTGCATCACTGACAATCTGGATAAACTTTCTCTGCCAATGCAGGGATCGAATACCCGACCTCCAGACTAGCGAGCCAGCGTCTTAACCACTTAGCCACCGTGACCCCCTACTTTATTTAAAGGATACATACTTCATATAAAGGATACATACTCTATATAATGGTTGAATAATTTATATAACGGATAACTAATTTATATAATGGATAACTAATTTATATAATGGGTAACTAATTTATATAATGGGCAATTACCTCATATAATAGGTGATTATATAACGGATAATACTTTATACAAAGGATTATTACTTTGTATAATGGATAATTACTTTGTATAATGGATAATTACTTTATAGAATGGTTAATTATTTTATGTGATGGTTTATTACTTTATATTGGATAAATGAATCATATAATGGATAATTACTTTATAGAATGGTTAATTATTTTATGTGATGGTTTATTTCTTTATATTGGATAAATGAATCATATAATGGATACCTAATTTATGTATGAATAATTAATTTATGTGTGTATTAATAATTAATTTATGCATGAATAATTAATTTATTTATGCATGAATAATTAATTTATATAAAGGATAATTAATTTTTATAATGGATATTTACTCCATATGAAGGCTAATTCTTTATGTAATGGATCGTTACTTTATATAAAAGTCATACACTGCATGTAAAGGATATATCCTTCATATAATGGCTAATTACTTTATATAATGGATCATTGATTTATATAATGGATAATTAATTTAGATAATGGAAATTTAATTATATAATGGATAATTGCTTTAGATAATGGGAATTACTTTGATAAAATAGAAATGGTAACTTGAAATATAATGAACGAAGTGATATTGCCCGGATACTTCTTTTGCAGACAGCTTATTATCTTTCACCGGGGTTGAGGTCAGAGTTAGTTTTCTAGTAGCGTTAGCGTGAAAACTGTGTTTATTGTACGGTATGTTTTCTTTAACAGAACATGGTGGCTATTCGAGTTGGTCCACAACATATGGTTCTTGTTCTAAGACATGTGGTGGTGGCATTCAGGCTGTTACCAAAAGACGATACTGTACCAATCCACGTCCGTCAGGAGGAGGTCGTTCATGTTCTGGGTCAGCCTACAGTTATACAACACAACGCTGTAACACACAATCGTGTCCAGGTAATTTTATGCACGTTCTTTAAGACTTCAGTTTTAATAATTAACACCCACGGATCCCTTCCTCGCGTTATTAAGATAAGATATAATTTTATTGAATCTGGATCTCCATCATGAACTTTTTAAATAATTGTGATAGGCATAACATTCGCAAACTCTATCTCAATGAGAAAAGCGATGACTCACTGACAAAGAGATCACGCTGATAGCCCAGAAAGTCGTTGGGCTTGTTCAGTGTGAGATCCCCTTCATAGTGGTGTAGAACGTTAGTCTGATCAGGGATAGCGACTAGTAGCTCAGATGTACACAAAAGAACCTATGGCAGTTCGAACAAAACGTCTCTATCCGGGCACATTGCCATCACATCATTTTATTAGGCCGGATAGTGCAGGGAAATAGGACGTGAGTTCGTTGCATTTACATCGGGGTTTGTTTTTGGAAGGGGGCAAGGGTATTTTGGTTTTTGCTTTTCTTTTAATTTCTACGTAATTTTTATTTTTGAAAAAGTCAATGGTGTTTGGTCTTCTTGGAGTACACCCAGAGATTCGTCTTGTAGCAAGTCCTGTGGAGGCGGTACTCTGGTCCGGACTTACACCCGTTCATGTAGCAACCCTGCACCAAGATATGGAGGAAGGGCCTGTACCGGAAGCACCACCCGAAGTGAACGAGTCTCATGTAATACCGCAGCATGTCCTAGTAAGTCTGAATAATATTTTAATAATTTAAACGAATATTATATATACTTAGATACGATGAAAACGCTCCATAGAGTTCCTTCTTCTAACATCTGAGCACACGCGCTGGGGTCTTTCCTGTGAAATTGTGGGTGGAACTAAACCATGACCGCAAACCAGAGATGTCTGGCCAGCTAGCGCGACACTCTATACACAATACATCTGCAACAGAATCCACATTTTATAATCTTGGTTGCTGTTTTGAACATTCCAATGTTGTCGAATCAAGTTTTTCATGTTTGAAAGAATTGATAATTTGTGGTGCAATTACGCAATCGTGAAACATTATTCTTGCTTGTTATCGTTGTGATCTGGTGTTATTACATTCGGAATGACAAACATGAAATGTGATTTAACATCCTACTGTTCTGCTTCAACTGGGCTAATTAATGAAGACGTGGACATGAAATGGGATTTAACATCCTACTTTTCTAAACAAACAGGGCTAATGACGTAAGGCATACGTCATACCGGGTTTTGTGATTTACAATCATCATTTGATAAACGTGATACACTTCCATTGCGTCTCGGTAAATACCCATTACGTTACAGTCAACGAAACCCCGGAAACGTAGTCATAAAGTAGTATAATATGTACATCACTGGGACAGTTACTACCTTTAAAAACCCAGACCTACAGAAGACAGGATAAAAACTTTCTCGGTGCCCTGTAACAATTTTAATTACTGCTCGTTGTTTTCCAGTTCATGGCGGTTTCAGCAGCTACAGATTAACTAATACAGGAGCTTGCAGTAAGACTTGTGGTGGTGGAGTAAAGCAACTGACCTACACAAGATCCTGTTCTAATCCAACACCAAGATATGGTGGACGAAGTTGTGTTGGTGCAACTACTAAAACCATGCCAATAGCTTGCAATACACAAAATTGCCCAAGTAAATATCAATATTTTCCAAAAATACATTTGACGTTATCTTTTGACTTTCGGGAACTTCGGGAAGTTTTCTTGATTCAGGTTACCTCCCATTAAGTAGTGAAATGTAATGGGGTTTAACGTTGTGCTCCGACTCATATAGACTTCATATCACCCTTTTGCAACATCATGTGATCTTTAAGCACATATATCTGATCTTAGGCATATATGATCTTTATGTAACTTCATGTGATCTTTATGTAACTCCACATGATCTTTATGTAACGCTATATGATCTGTGAGTAAGGCACTGGCTCACTAATCGGGCAAGACGGGTGGTCAGAAAATGATCATCGTCTAGTCTTCGGATGTGACGAAAGAAAAGAAAGACCTAGATCTTAGCCAGTTGCAATTTGATGATAAGTTAGACGAAACGCCGCTGTGTGGGCAAAATGTCAATCCTCATTACCCCATTTCCCTTATTTCGATTTGTTTTTGTAGTCAATGGGGGCTGGACCGATTATACCTTAGATACTACAGGTGAATGTACTGTATCTTGTGGAGGAGGTACCAAGACTCTATCCTACTCCAGAACATGTACAAACCCCAGACCACTATATGGTGGTGATGATTGTGGCGGTGCAAGTACTAAACGTACACAGGAAGAATGCAACACCCAGCATTGCCCAAGTGAGTGATCAGTTTGAATATATGATCTATATATTTGTGATTAACATTATTCTCACACTATGCGCCGAAGCAGACTATCGCAATAAACAGCCACGCCCATTCCCAGTCTATTTGCTTTTTGAATCCTTGAGACCTCATGTAAAACAGGCTTGTAGTCCACCTAAATGTTAATAAACTTACCGTGTATATAGATCGATACAAAACTCTAATTAAACAAGATATATTCCTTCCGAAGATAGGTCATACTTAATAGTTTCACATTTCAATGCATAGAAATCATCCTGATTTTGCTGTTTTTGTAGTCAATGGAGGCTGGACCGATTATAACTTAGATACTACAGGTGAATGTACTGTATCTTGTGGAGGAGGTACCAAGACTCTGTCCTACACCAGAACATGTACAAATCCCAGACCACAATATGGCGGTGACGATTGTGGCAGTGCAAATACTAAAGAAACACAGGAAGAATGCAACACTCATAATTGTCCAAGTGAGTGATCAGCTTGAATTTATTATCTATATATTTGTGATTGTATTACATTATGTAACTAGGCATACTGTCGCAAATAACATCCATGCCCTCAAAGGGTAGCGTTACAGCGATTAACTAGATCTGTAACTATTGTAATCGCTTAAATGTAACGGATTTATTTCGATTTGTTTTTGTAGTCAATGGGGGCTGGACCGATTATACCTTAGATACTACAGGTGAATGTACTGTATCTTGTGGAGGAGGTACCAAGACTCTATCCTACTCCAGAACATGTACAAACCCCAGACCACTATATGGTGGTGATGATTGTGGCGGTGCAAGTACTAAACGTACACAGGAAGAATGCAACACCCAGCATTGCCCAAGTGAGTGATCAGTTTGAATATATGATCTATATATTTGTGATTAACATTATTCTCACACTATGCGCCGAAGCAGACTATCGCAATAAACAGCCACGCCCATTCCCAGTCTATTTGCTTTTTGAATCCTTGAGACCTCATGTAAAACAGGCTTGTAGTCCACCTAAATGTTAATAAACTTACCGTGTATATAGATCGATACAAAACTCTAATTAAACAAGATATATTCCTTCCGAAGATAGGTCATACTTAATAGTTTCACATTTCAATGCATAGAAATCATCCTGATTTTGCTGTTTTTGTAGTCAATGGAGGCTGGACCGATTATAACTTAGATACTACAGGTGAATGTACTGTATCTTGTGGAGGAGGTACCAAGACTCTGTCCTACTCCAGAACATGTACAAATCCCAGACCACAATATGGCGGTGACGATTGTGGCAGTGCAAGTACTAAAGAAACACAGGAAGAATGCAACACTCATAATTGCCCAAGTAAGTGATCTGCTTGAATTTATTATTTACATTTTGTGATTTTAGTTTTAACATTATGCGACGAGGCAAAGTATCGCTATATTATTAACATCCATGACCTCAAAGGGTAGCATTACACCGATCAACTAGATCTGTAACTATTGTAACCACGCAGTCGTTTGTCCATACTCGTATGTCTAGTTGCGTGTCGAATCCGTGTGACCTTAGGTCCACTTAAATGTAAACGAATTTGATATTTTGATGGGACGATACACCAAGGAAGGTGTTATCTTCTCGAAGACAGATTATACTTAATATTTTCGCATTTCGATGCATAGAAATCATCTAATACCCATCTTAATTTTTATTTTTATTTTTTTGTAGTCAATGGAGGCTGGACTGATTATGCATTAGATAATACAGGTGATTGCAGTGTAAGTTGTGGAGGAGGCACCAAAATTCTATCATACGTCAGAACATGTACAAATCCGAGACCACAATATGGCGGTGATGATTGTGACGGTGTCAATACTAAAGATACGAGCGAAGAATGTAACACCCACAATTGCCCAAGTAAGATTATGTTATTGTTTGTTTTTCTAGCCCTTCGCTGAAGACTTTAGTATACAAATGTAAGAAAGATGTGGATTGTTTGTGTTGGCTGTGGTAACCGTTTATCAGGACAAACGATTCTTGTGAGAATACAAGATCGGCCCTAGCTATTAGACTGCTAGTAACCTTGATAGTTCGGTCTATATTTTGTATAACAATTGTAAAGCTTAAATTATATGATAAGTAAATTAAAGAATGTATCCGTACACGCTTTACAGTTCATGGAGGATGGACTGAGTATACGTTATCTGCTACTGGTGATTGTTCAACAACATGTGGAGGAGGTGAAAAGATTCTGACCTTTACCAGATCATGTACGGACCCTTCTCCTATGTATGGTGGCAATAATTGCGATGGTGATACCGAAAGCACTGATACCGAGACCTGCAATGAAAATCCATGCCCAGGTAAAATTTGTGGTTTTATTATCCATGGTAATATACCTTAAAGATTTTAGTCCATTTTGGAAAGAGATAGAGAGAGTCGGAGAGAGAGACGGAGAGAGAGACAAAACGAGAGGGTTGACTGAGAGAAAGGGGAAGCATACAGGAAAGGGCGTTAACGTGTCAGGTCATGTAGATGGGGGCATACATATAGACATTATTCGGAAGTATTGTGGCACTGATACGTTCAACTCCATGCCATCAATTGCACATGAGATTTTTGTCATTAAAAAGTGGCACAATAGTCGCTAATCACGAGGTCAGTGTTTAGATCCCCTGAGAAGGTTCCCTGGGAGTGTTCGGCGTGCTTTGCCATTGTCTGTGTTGTAGGATTTAGGGGCATAAGCAATAGCGTATAGTTGTACACGTGTACACGTTGGTGTGCACGTAAACGAATCTTTGGTAGTTGGAATTGTAAAAAAGAGTAGGCCGTAAATTCGGGCAAAATATACCGGTTGGTGTAGAAAAGTAGGACATTAAACTCCATTTTAGATCACATTTACGAAATAAGGGGTCATTGATTACTTATTGCTATTCTGCAAAGGGTTATAATTTTTTTCGCAGTAAATGGTGGTTGGACAGATTTCACAGAATGGGCAGAGATCAACGAATGTGACTCCCTTTGTGGTGGTGGTATCAAGGAAGAACAACGTGACCGAACCTGCACAAATCCAACACCAGCTTATGGAGGTGATGACTGTGATGGTGAACTAAGCCAAGTACGAAACGTGACTTGTAATACTGAAAACTGTGGTGGTAAGTAGCTATAGTAGTTACACAATAGGTAATGTGAAAAGGGAATACGTTGAAAATTTTAATCAAATCACTTCATTCTAATCGGAGTTATCGTCGTTTGCAGAACAGTGTAGTCTCGGTTGTCATTGCTACAGTTGTTACGATAATAAACAAAGTCTTGATTATTCAGTTTTAAATTAAATAATTAACATCAGATCGTATTTAAATCTGTCGAAAATGAAAATCATCCGGAGTTCTAGAGAGTTGATTGTGGACCTGTCATGTAAATAAATACCTAATAAATAATTTATATTAATATTTTTGAGACCAAACGAAAGATCTGCAATTGGCAGATTTAGCTCTTGAATAATGCATCATTAAAATATCTGATCGTCTTTGGATTTTACTTAATCCCTTGCACACTATAATATTGTCTAGACAGAGAAATGAAATGGGGTTTAACGTCCACTCGACACAAACTAGGTCATTTTAGGACTAACCTGTGGTTCAATTTTATTTCAATAATTCGCTTGCGCATAGGTTTTATTAGCAGTTGGAGGGCACCAGGGGACCCTGCGAAAATCCGCGAGGTTTGACATGTGACCCTATTCCTTTTCATGTTCAAACGAGGAACCGAAACCACGCCACGTGACCCCACCCCACCCCAATATGGGTTAGTTTCGTTTGTCACTAATCTTGGCTCTGATTCTTCTTCTAATTTGTATCGAGTGGACGTTAAACCACGTTTCTCTCTCTTTCTCTAATCCACACTGGTTTAAACCGACATTATTCAAATTAATTTATATTTAGCATCTGGGTTAAAGCCTTCATCAAATCGCCATAAATTAATTTATATTTAGCATCTGGGTTAAAGCCTTCATCAAATCGCCATGTCAGATTGTGTTTATGTTTTCTACAGATAAATGCCCAACAGGACAGAATACATACATCGCTCATAATGGTAATGACTACAGATACTACCAGTGTGCCCATGGCGTAGCTAGACTCAGAGATTGTGCAGCAGGAACTATGTGGAGCCAAGATGAAACCGTTTGTATTAATATACCTGTAGCAGCAGCTGCAGCCCCGACTCATGCACCTGTACCCACAGCCTGTGATGTATCCCTTGGTCTTGTTGCCGATCCAGACAATTGTCATAACTACAGAATGTGTGCTGCTGGTAGATATTACACCATGCCATGTGCGTCTGGTACTGTTTTTAACCCCGCTCGTCAGTACTGTGATCTATCAGCCAACGTCCCTGATTGTAATTAAATGAATCAGTACGGTGTACACTCAACTAAAATGGCAATTGACTCATTATTTATCATACTAATGACTCCCTAATACTTTCCTCAATAAAAAAAATATAAATTATGTAAATGTGCTGTTTGTTGGTTTGGGATTTGTATAAAAGTTCTTGTTTGGATATAGTGGAGGGTATGACCCCCCCCCCCCCCCCGCCCGCCCATAATAATACGCTTGACCCTAGGGGCCTTTAACAATGGAAACCGCAAGACCCAGAGCAAAGCCACGATGTTGGGCAGACGATCCTATATCCAAACCACGCATCTTGCCACAATGGCAGACCTTATGATCTATTAATGGACATACGTTAGACCACTCGACCACGACAAGAGTCGAAATTTGGAATCTCAAGTATTGAATATTTATACTGTTTCCCTTCCTTACAAAGAAGCAGCTTACTGGTGTTAAAATCGCCAGGCATGTCCTGTATTTTGAGGGACATACTTAGCAGTAGCTACGTTCCTGTGTTTTTTAGAGTCGTATGCAGCAGTAGTTAAGTTCCTGTATATTTAGGTTCGTATGCAGCAACATGTTCTTGAAGCAACGACTGCGAGTTTTACAACATCTGGACGTTGCTAGATTGCTTTACGTTGCTAGATTGCTTTACAATTCCCGAACTTATTATAGCTACGTAATGCCCCCGTCAGACCGGGTGGTGTCCTTACTGCGCTGCTGCGACCGTACAGCGACTAGAAAATGCACAAGGTCGGTGGCAAACGTAAACACACCGCGAGAAATTGTCCCAAAAAATTTACAAACTTGATAAAAGTCTCGTTCTTTACCCCGTCAGACCGGGGTGGCGCCTTTACTGCGCTGCTACGGCGACGGAAAATGGCCCCAGAGCGCGTCATGATCGCCATAAGCGTGGTAAAAGCGTGGTGGAAACGCCAGATATCGCGATGTGGTCTCGATAGTCGCAAAAGATCGCCGAGTAAGATGTAAAAACGCAATTTTTTTTTCAAGTTTATAATATTTTGGGACATTTTCGTACGTTGTGTTCACGTTTGCCGGCGACCTTGTGCATTTTCTGATCGCCGTACGGTCGCTGCAGCGCAGTAATGACGCCACCCCGGTCTGACTGGGGCATTACTTCCAAGGTTAGATCGCAAAGCCTTGAACATGCTTAAAACAAGCGCGGTGACTAGGCGACCATTCACGACCATGGAGACCACAGCACGATATCTGGCGTTTCCACCACGCGTTTACCGCGCTTATGGCGATCTTGACGCGCGCTGGGACCATTTCCCGTCGCCGTAGCGTCGCAGTAACGACGCCACCCTAGTCTGACGGGGGTATTATTTCCATTTAGCGTCCAATAAGAGGTTGTCACACAAACACGCTCAAATCGAATATAGAGACCTCCACGGAAACCTTGACATTGAACGAATCCTGAACTTTGCAACTCGATTATCACAGATAGACATTTTAGCTGGAAAGCGCGAGACTTCATATCTGATAGTCTATAAAGCTGGGTGAATACCCAATCGAAATTAGTGCCGAAATATCCATCCTTCTATTGAAGATGGTGCAGCAGTATCGGAATTCCTGTGTATCGAAAGTCGTATGCAGCAGGTTTACTGATCATGACACAGTCGGTTCCTTTACAATCAGGGTCGCATGCAACAGTGGCTAAAGCCCTGTAACATTTAGAATTGCATCCAGTAGACGTGGTACAAGTGTTAATCAGCGAACTGGATGTATGAGATGTGTTGTTGACGTTTGGGAAAGTAGGACGAGGGGAAATGTGTAGGGAGTGAAGTGCTG